CCAAATTTAATTAACATAAATTTCTCAGTCATCATAAAAATAAAGCTGAAAGCAGTTTGCTTTTTGGTTTTAGCAAAGTATTTAATCTTTTTCATCAAATTTGTAATCCAATATTTTATGAACTGCTATGCAGTTTGTTACAGAATCTTTTTAAAGTAGTGCTTCATAATTCTGCTTAATTCTTTCTTTTGTCAAAAAAACAAGACAGTCATATGAACAGGATAATTATACTTTAATTCAAACTCTGTTTAGAAAGAAATCCATTTTCTACCACAAACTATCATTAGCAAGCCTTTTCAGATTGTATATATTTTTGATGACTTTTTTCTACTTTGAGCAGCCATTTAGGTCTACTTTTGCAACCTAATAAATATTGTTGGCAAACCGTTTGGTGAAAATATTTTCACAAGTGAAGAACTGCCCGCATGTATGAGCTTACGAGGGGTATTGCCCATTTAACAATTACTTGGTAAAGAATCCTTCAAGGCCTAAGGGGTGCTAAAACTTTCAAGGTATTAGGGTATCATCTTCCCACGACAGCCTTACATTTGATCTTCTAAATATGTGGCGATTGCCAATTCTAATAACGCTTTGTTTTCATAAGCAGCTGGAACTTTTAGTCAAGGATACTTAGACTTATTTAGAAACTAACTTTACCGTAAGTGCTCTTCCTGTCTGTAAATGCTCTTGATTACTTTTTTCCCTTTGTATGATGCATAGCATGTATCTTTGATTATTGTTCGTTTGAAGCTTGTTGAAGCTCTCTATATTTTTTAACGTTTTTCAGTTTGGCAATCCAATTTGTTTATCTGGCATGTTGCTGTTGTAATGTTGGCCTTTTGGGTTGATAAATCTAGGGATTAAGGAATGACGTGAATAGCTACCACTTTACATAAAAAGCTATCATTAGAGTATAATTTTTCTGCCATTTTGTCCTACATTCATCTGCATCAGTATCTCTGACCATCTACTTTCCGATGTCTTGTTGCTTGAAAATTTTTAGTGTAATCTTGCGCTATTGCACAAATATTTTGCGAGTAAGTGCATTATTTTTTAATGCTAAGTGATAAATTTAAACCAGGCGCCAAATCATCTGACACTCATTTTATTCTTTTTTTTCAGTGGAAGCTAAAGACAGATGAGACCGGGTTCACTGCTTGTGAATTAGATAATAATGTCGTAGATGGTTACGTTATAACACCATTTGTCATTACAAATCCAGCCAAACAAATAACCCTCAGAATAACTTATACTTTGAATTGCTGTTTAACCAAATTGTCCATTGGTGTCTATGTCCTTTTGGGCTCAGGTGAAATATCTGCGCCAAGTGCTGAAAGCTTCAAATACATTTCTGCTTTAAAGAATACCACATCAATGAATCCTTCATCTAGAGTACAGTTTAAATCAGTTTTTACCATTGGAATGGAAGGAAGGACTGGACTTTTTATTGCTTTCAGAGATCAAGGAATTTGTGGAAGACTTGATTCATTTCAACTCAGTTACATAGAATGTCCAAGCTCAGCTGGGGAATTTATGTCATTTCCACTTAAAACTGCAGCTCCAAACAGCACAGTTTCAGTCCGAAAGGTGCTTGGAACATGCTTTACCAATGCTGATGTCCAAGTTTCAGAAGCAGCTAATTACATGTTTTGTTATACAAATGGTTCCACCAAGGTGAATGGTGGCTGTCGTTGCATTGCTGGATATGAAAATCATTCCTTTACCAGTTGTAATGGTGAGTCTTTTTAATATATGAGCGTATATACATATATAACACTTTGTTTTTCATTCATTCCATGCACTCATGTTTGTTCTTAGACAAGGCAACTACCGCGTCATCACAATCTCGTTAATTTTGCTCCCGCACTAAAAATTGGACAACAATCAATTGAACATGCAAAGTAAACAAAGTTACTTGTTGTTTTCTTAGACCATCTTTTGTGGGAAGAGCACGAGAACAAGATAACATCATCCTGTTTTGGAGCTCTTGCCATAGTAAAAATATTCAAAAATATCATGTCACTGAAACTTGAAAAGCAAGTTGCTAAGTTGCTAATATTATCCAAATTGTCAATGCTGTATTTCATTCGCTTTCATTGAAACTACAAAAACGACTACAAAAGGTGGAAAATGCAGCTGCAAGTTGTTTCTAGGCCGTTACATTAAAGAAAAGGATATCATATCACTAGGCAGGATACATTGACATATCATTGAAAGAAAACAGTAAACATCTGAGATCAAACTCTGCACCACAAATTGCAACTTTAACCAATTCTAAAATTTTGAGGAACAGTGCAGCTGATATTTTTAACAAGATACCAAACGCGATAAGAACTTCAAAAACGAAAGTCGAAATCTCATCAAAATCTAAAGAATATTTTCTTACTGAAGCAATAAAGGGGCTGTTAGTTTGATTCAGAAAGAGAAAAACATAACTTCTAATTCTAATATACTTTTAGCCAAGTTTGTAATATCGCAATTCTTACTTTTATAATCTTAATTTATTTTTAATCACAATTGAAAATTCTTACTTTTTAGATTTTAAATCACCTTTAGTCAAATTTAGCTATTTCAATATTTTCTTTTCAGATTAATGTAACATGATATAAGAGTCTGTTTATGTCACTTTTGGGATGGAAGGCACAATGCAACGTCAATAATTTTCTTGACTTTCTATCCAAGTTTTGTAATTCTTCCTTGTTCCTTTTAATAATACCTGCTCCATATCTGAGCAAAACTACAGCCCAAGTGTTTATTGCTTGGAACTTGTTACTTCAATTGAGCTTCGATTTCAATACTAATCTTAGTCTTTTTAGAAATTCCTTTCCAAACTTTATCTTCATTTCGTCTTCCATCACTCCACCGATTTCCCTGATCCCCAAGTACTTGTAGCCATCATTTTCAACATTCTTCATCAGTTCACCCACCATCTGGCAGCATAACTCCCTCATGGTCTACCACGTTCCCCCTCTTCAAGATTAAGAAACCACATTTTTAACACCAAACTCTATTCCAACATCTTGGTTAAACAAGTGTACTGTTTTCACTAAAAAATCGATTTGAGAATCGCTTTTACCATAAAGTTGCAAATCGTCCATACATATTAGGTGGTTTATCCCCTGCTGTTTATCTTTGAACTCATATGCAGCTTTTACATTCCTAAATACCAGGCTTAACGGTATAAGACAAAGCACAAACAGCTAGACAAAGGGGACAAACTATCACCCTGGAAGATCCCTCTTCTAATGTGAACATGACATAACCTTTCTCCACAAGATGTTAATTCCGTTTTCAAGTGAGGCATACTTCGACGAATAAACTGTTCCGCTTTCCTGGTGACACCAAAAAGTTCTAAGCACTCGATGATTCATGAGTGTGGCACCATGTCGTATGCCTTTCTATAATCGATTCAGGCCATAGCGAAATGGTGTGTCTTCTCTTACAATCTTTCAGGACCATTTTGTCTATTAATAACTGATCTTTAGTTCATCTTCTTTCGCGTTTGCAGCCTTTGTGTTCATTAGGTAAAATGTTGTTGCTCTCTAAGAATGCATACATGCTTTCTGCGATTATCCCAGTCATGAGCTTCCACAATAACGGTAAACATTATATAGGTCTAAAGTTGTCTACGGCGTTTCCCTCTGTCGGACCTTTCTGACATAGCATTGTTCTGCCTTCATCCATTCAGGCAGTTCTTCCTCTCCATTCAAGATTTTATCCATCTGTTTTGCTATTCTTTGATGGCACCCTGTTGGCTTTTCACCCAGAATCCCTGCACTCCATCAGGTCCAGGAGCTGTCTAATTTGGCATCTTTTTGCATTGGTCTTTTACTTCAACCTTAGAAATATGCATGTCCTGTTGTACTGGGTCTGTCCCAGCTTCCTTGATTTATTGTAACCATTCTGCTTGTTTATTATGCTCTTTTGCATCATCCAAGATTCCTCCCCAGAACTCTCTACCTTCTTCCGCATTAGGTAGAATCTTTTCTTTCCTTGCCTCTCCATTTATTTCCTGGTAAAATCGCTTCTGATCCGTATAGAATAATCGATTTTTGTCTGTACTGCTTTATCCTTTGATCATACCTATTAAGTTTTGTTTTCTTTGCTGCTACACTCTGTTTCAGCTCTTCTATAGCAACTGCTAATCCTTTTCTATCTATCATATATTTATTCTGCAGGAAACTGAATTTCCCTTCTTTTCCCAGCTCTCCTCTTTTCTTTCTTTCTATTACTGCTATGTCTTTGTACAGTGTCACGATGTCATTTCCAATTCTCCTTTTCCACCATTCATTGTTTATTTTTTACCCTCTTTTGTTCTTTATCCCCAAACTTTCTCCTACATAGATCATAGATGCTAACAGCTTTCGACAATTTGTTTGTCTCAGATACACTTTTGGTCTCGATATATTTCAACACATTGTTGACTCTCCTCGTCTCCTCTTCTATTCTTTGTTTATCTACTTTCTTAAAATCAAAAACAACTTCTCTTTCTGTGTTATTTATCAACTCTACTATCCTTCTCACCATCTATGTTTCTTCCCCCGTTGCTAACTTAACCTTAGTCATTACCACAATTTCAGACACAAAATTGTCTCCGTTTTGCTCATTCTCCACGGCGCTCTCTTGGCATCTTCGGCAATTCCTGCAATTCATTCTTCAAAATATGTGACTCTCTCTCCATCGATAAACAACAAAAACGGTATCTCATCTCCAAACTTGCCAACATTGCTATCTGTACTACGCAAAAATAAACCATGCATAAACTCGGAATTACATCCTTTTTAATTTACTTTTCATAACCACGCATAAACCCGATTTTTGTAGTTTTTTCTTGTAAAACCAGGCTATCCAATTGCAAATTACCTTGTAATAGTGAGATTTATAAATGTGGTTTAGGTTGAATTGAAAATGAAATGTTTCCATTATTAAATAATATGATTTCATGAGCACTATGATAAAAGATTTTTTATCTTCTGTTGATTGATAAAGAATCTTGTAAGTTATTTGTAGACCAGAAATTTCCAGTTCAATAAAGATAACAATTGCGAAATTATTTAAGGAATAAAGTTTCCAGAATTTGTATTCTGTCACCTCTTTACCTATTGTATTTGTTATAAAAGCTGGACTCTTCACTCTTAACTCTTCAAAGCGTGAATTAACTTTTTGATGCAAGTTAGCTCGTTGATTAGTTGTCAATACAAAGAGCTTAAACTTTGGAAACTTTTAAACTAGCTTCTCAGGATCTTGCAACTGCATTATCTATGATACATTCTAACACAAACTTAACCACCGTTCTCTGTTCTTTACAACAAAGTTTAGAGAGTCAAAGATGGTAAACTAATATTTTGGTCATCTTCCCTTATATTTAAATCCAGCGCAACGATCAATAAGTATCCGATTGTAATGAAACTCCTTTTTATTCTAGAAAATCTAGATTCTTGAATGCAGCCATATTCATAGTCATATTCAAGTTCAATGGAATGGGGCTTTTATTTTAGACGGCTAGGGCTTATATCCATCAATTTTCTTGAAACTTTCCTTCATCAAATTCATAGGAGTGTTATGGTGATAATTTTTGTTCTTTATTGCCATGCTTTTACAGAATGTCCCGCAAAGAGTTTCAAAAGTGTTGCTGGTAACTTTAATTGTACCAGATGTGGTGCAAATGTTGAGGACGGACTGAAGCCCAGGACAACACCTTGTAAATGCAACAATGGATATTACAGGCCACTTCGATCTAAAAGTGTTCCAACTGTCGACTGTGAAGGTGAGCTTAGTTAAAAAAGATTATTGATTTCTTACGCAAGAGAATGAAAAGATTTACGAACAGTTAAATACATTGAAACAAGTGGCTATAAAGTCATTAACTTGTTTCACTCAAGATTCATCTCAAACCTTCTCTATCACATCATACCATTGTAAATATTTTATTTATTTCTGCATACTGGGGCAAGATATCAGTTGGCACTCAAAAGCTTTTAAGCTTTCCATTCAAATTTTTCCCTCTTTGACTATGTTAAACAAATTTCCGGTCTTATTAAATCCTTTTTTTCCATAAACGTGAACCATGGAAAATTTTTCATTTTATATCATTGCTTTCTAATGTGCACAATTCTCTTTTCACTTTAATATTACAGATCTTCTATCTTTTACCCTCTACTGAATTTTTACTCAGCTATCCAGCTAGGTGCTAAATACTCAATGAACACTCTGTGCTAAATACTCAATGAACACTCGGTGTTCGGTAATCTTTTTGTATCATTTTAACTTCCATTCTTGATTCTCAATTTTTTCTTATCATTTTTAATCTCAATACTCGTAAATAAATATGGTTTTCAACAGCGCCACCATCTGCTCCAAATGTCGTTAGGGCAAAACAGATTGGGTCAAAGTGGATCTTATTAGAATGGACGGTCCCCATGGACCAGGGGACTGGAGACAAACCGAGTTACACGATAAAAGCAAGCTGTACTAAATGTAATACTCCACCTGACTTTACAACATCTAACCTTCTTTTCAATGTCACCGGGCTGAGCGCCTACACACGGTATGACATCAGAGTTTATTCCATCAACAATGTCACTGCTGCCATCGGCTTCGACAAGGCTCAGTACAACAGCACTTCGGTTTTGACTGGATCAGGATGTGAGTGAACGTGTGGCTTGAGTTACTCTGTTTGCTTAATGATATTTTAATGGTCAGCTTTTGATTGAAAACATTCTGTTTTTCATTTTTGCAAGACTCTGTACCAACTTATCGCATATACATTCTTTACTCTAGAAAATTTCAAAAAATTGTTCAATGGTAGCATGTCCGTGTATTGAGATAGGAGCCTAAATGAGAAAGTTGAGCTATTTAGCAAATCTTTTTTTTGAGTTGATTTTACATTCGTTTACTTAGGGTAAATATCCTAACAGATATTTTGTTTGTTTGTGTAGCATATCTCATTTTCAGTGCCTTCGGAGGTTCAGAATCTTACTAAAAGGACAAACTCTGATGCATCAGTGACAATTTTATGGAACGAGCCATTGACAAAGGGTGGTGATGATCTGCGATATTTTGTCACTGTTAATGGCGAAAAGGGAATGTTTACCACCAAGCTGAAATACACTGTTAAACAAGAGCCAGAAACGAAGAAGTATACTGTGTCTGTAAGTATGAGTTTTGATTCCCTAATTTCATACCAATTTCCAGAAACAGAAGTCTCTCGACCTACATGAAGAATGATTTTAGGTAAAACTCCCATACAAACATTTTAACTTTTTTCGAAAGATATTTTGAAATATTTGGTTCGAAGCCCTGTGAAAGCACAAACTCTTTCCAGGACTCTGCTACAAAAAGAAATCCTAACTGCTTGTGACTTTGCTATTGGGGGAGGGGGGGGCGTCAGTCGTGACACTCCCCTTGAGAAATGGTTCCAGTGGACAAATGAGGAGTTGCTTGCCATCTAGGGGTGCTTAGTCGGCAAATTTCCAATCTTGTCGGCAAACTCAGGATGGCTCACTAACTTTTTCGGCAAATGGGACTTGGAAACCCCCCTTGATCACAATAGCTAGCGAAAGGCCTGTCACTTTGAGAGAATGTGTGTTTACTTACTTATGCTTCTTTTATTTACAACCATTTGATACTGAGGCTTTGAAACCTAGTAAATGTCTTGAATTTAAAAAAAAGAGTCTTTAAGTCATATATTTGCCCTACCAAGACTGAGAATATTAACTTTATGTAGATGTACTCGTGTAGAACGTAGAAATAATTTTTTACTATCAAATTAGGTAAAGTCACACACGAGCGCTGGATTTTCCAAAGAAGAAGTTATCAGATTTGAAATTAAAGGAAAAGGAAAGTATTAGCCAGTGGAACTCAAAATTGTCATCATTAACGAGTTATATTTCATGTTTCTTCGCAGGTTCTTTAGTTTTTCATATCATATTAAAGTGGTGATGATAGGCCAAGCTAAGTGTTCGCCAAGCAGAATGTTGAATAAAAGGCCCCTATAAGTCACCTTGAGTGATGTATGAATTATATATTAAATTCTATTTACAGGCATTTCACTGACTTTGGTCATTGCTGTCGTAGTCACATTGTTTGTCTTACTGTTGATTGCTGGCGCTTTCGTTGTATATTTCTACCGAAGGTACGTCGTTTCTGCTATGTTAGTTTTCATGTTTTCAAGAAATTTTTAATTTCAGTTTTGATTATAATGGCTCAGTTAAGTTACCATAATTGCTTCTTTTTTATCACTTTTGGCGTATTGATTTACTCTTTTTTTTTTAATTACTCACAGGCACGTAGATGTCCGGGGGTGTGGGGGTGTGGGAGTGTCGCTCCAGAGAAATGAAAAAGTCCAAGTCGTACTGACAATTCTTATTTCCGTCCAAGAATAATGTACATATCGCTATAGCCAAAAGTTTCCTCAATTCAGAAAGATAATAACAAAACTTAATTAATTACAGAAAGTTAATTACAGAATTATAGTGTTTAGGTTCTGTAAGTAAAATGTAAGTGCAAAATTACGATTGGCTTGTTGTCAGTCAAAAATCTAGCACCTTTCACTCCCCCCCCCCTTCTTAAAATATCCGTCAGTTCGGGTCTCTAATCGCTCATTGTCATTTTTATTATTCAATAATATTTTGTAACTTTGTCAATAAACAGTCTTATTTTTTCCTACTTATCAAGGCGACATCCAAAGCATCTTCAACCTGTTCGACTTGAAAACGGGGAAGGTTCGTACACATTCGCTGTTAAAAATTTCTCAGAAATTTTCACTGTACCCAGTTGTTCTTTCCGTATATGGCGAATTTGTTGATTCATTTTCAGTCGTCCATTTTCGAGCAATAGCCTCTTCAATCAATGTTGGTATTTTACTTCCATAACAGTTATTACTTCCCATAATCGTTTCTCTAAATCATTACATTCTGACTGCTATTTTCAGCCAATTACGATTTCAATTATTCTAGATTCAGGCAGGCAAATTCGACCTGGAACTTTTAAGTATTACCGAACCTGTCATCAATTTTTTTAGCCAATCATCAACTTTCTCTAGAACTAGCACCGATAGGTTGAGTCATCATCATCATCATGATCATTATAATTAGCAACCTTTTTCGATGTTAGCTAGACAGTAGTTGTGCAAATAATTTACGCTAACATAAAGCATCTAAGAGATTGCATCATGGACAGAACTGACTCATGTTAGTACATGCTGTGAAGCAGAATTTTTTGCCAGAAAACCAACTTCCGTTAAGAATTTTGAATTCATTTATATTTCGAGATCTTTCGTGAATTCGAGATCTTTTGACCTAAGTAACTGAGCTACTAAATACCATGACTGGTAGTTCACATTTGGAATTCAAATTTATTGTTCATACATAGGTTTTTGCATGTGCCTTTCTGGAAAAAAATATCTTTCATTAATATTGTGTTTAAATTATGCAAAGTTCGACCTGGTCCTAAGTTTCTCTTACATTGTTTAGTGATTCTCCCAAGTGGAAAAGGCGTTCAGGTTTATATTGATCCGACGACATATCAAGATTTGGAGGACGCTGTGCAGCAGTTTGCTAACGAATTAGACCGAAGCTGGATCAAGCTAGATCGTCTGATTGGTGGAGGTGAGTTGGTTTAAAGTTAGGTTAAGAGTTAGGTTTTTATGATAGTTTAAAAGTTTTGAAACGTTTTATCTTGGTGGCAGATTCTTACAACTGTTATTTGCATTCGCGAATCTAACTACGGTTTGTTTGTGTCTCAATGATTAAGCACCTCAATGATTTAGCGTTTAAATTTCGAATTTTTTAACGATTCAAACAAAACCCGTTCAGGTGAAAGACAAGTGCCATAGGTGCAAACCTATTCTGAAATTTGGTCTGTTATCTACCCAAATTACTGCTGTCATCTTCCTCGGCTCTCTCTTCTTTGATTCATCACAAATAATTTTCCATTGTTATTTTCACATATGAGATGACACCGTCTTCTGTTGAAGATACCAGTGTTGCTCAACTTTAAGCAAACGGGGGCTCACCCTGTAGACACTTGATAGAGTTTTCCGCTTTGTGTTCTGACTAAATCTTCTATTTTTTCAAACATATAATGCTTTTATGTTACTAAGTTAAAAAACGTCTTCGGTAAGCTGTAATGAATTTATTGTATAAAATATAAGATTTTCGTAAGGTTTTAGGGCTGAAACTAGATGTCAGGCCCTGGCAAGTCATTTTCTTGGTTTGTAGCCTAATTTCCGTTGCTGTATACTGAAATGCGAATCAAAAAGGAATTGTCGAATTTTATGAATATTCTGTAATTAAAAATTATTCATAGGTGAATTTGGTGATGTGTACAAAGGAACTATGGAAAAACCCTCTGAAAAAGCACAAATTGTTGCCGTCAAGACACTCAAGGTATAAATTTGTGATCTTTCGTTGACAAGTAGGACAAACAAGTAGGACATCAAATCATTTTCAATGTAGGTTCTAAATACTCTTACACTCCCCTTTCCAAAGTATTCGAATGGTTGGATTAAATTACTGGCCTAGCCCTTACTTACGACAGTTAAGAATAAAATAATAATCAATTTTTGGCGGGAAAATCAAGTAATAGCGTCAGAAAACTGACAAAATAAGCAACAAGGCAAGTTATAATATTTTGTTCTGGGAAACTTTACTGTGAAAATTATTTTTAAAAGCTGAAATTATTATTTTATATGGGCAATGGAAAAAAACGCGAAATATGAACGAAGCAGAGCGAATTGTCATGGTGTTTTTACCCCAGACAGGTCTTTAATACGATGAAGTTTCAAAGCAAGTGGGCTGCACAAACTATGCTGTCAACGATATTTGTAAGGTATATGCAAAAACCGTTAACTGGACAAAAAATGTGAATTAGCAAGTCAACAAAATTTCTGAGAGGGACAAAAGTTTGAAACGCCGCAAATTAACCTCCATCCTCCAAGAAAACCCTCCCGAATGTGTAAGAAAATTTATAGGTCAATTTTTTTAGAAAAAGCAGCTGTCTTTCTGGGTGTTTTTATTAGCAAAAACTTACGTTATTGCTTTCTACCTTTTTGTAGTCAAATGCAAATAAGAAAGCAAGAGATGACTTTTTGGGAGAAGCAATGTATATGGGACAATTTGATGACCCAAATGTCATAAATCTCGAGGGTGTGGTCGTTAAAGGTATATCAATTTATTTGCTTTGAAGGCATATCTTTTACGGAGTTTCTGATAGATTTGCAGACTGCTTTGTTTGTGAGTATGCATGCTGTCGTTCCGGAACACATATATTACGTCGTCTCCCAATTTGTCTGCCAATACTTACATATTTTTCTCTCTTCTTTCTAGACCGTCCCATATTGATTGTCATCGAATTCATGAGCAATGGATCGCTTGACTCCTTTCTACAAGTATGCTAAATTTCAATTTACTTCTTCAAATTGTTGCAAAAACTAGTTATTGAGTATGTAGTTAAACTAATTTATAGATTGAAATGGCAATTATTGACAAACAACCATTCACCAATATCTATCATCGCTTCCTTTTTATTTATTTTATATTTTTTCTAAGAATACATGCATAGCGAAGATTTAGGCATCTGAAGAAGCATTGCATGCCGGGTCGAAATGTTAGTCAATTTTAACTTTGTATCAAATATGTTCGTCCTATCTTCAACTACTCTATGTCTTTTGTGGCTAATTGAATCTCTCAATCTGATGAAATGTAACAGAACCTTCTATATTTCCGCAGGAAAACGATGGTAAATTTACTCCACTCCAGTTACTAGGAATGGCAAGGGGTGTGGCGTCTGGAATGAAGTATCTTTCTGAAATGAGCTACATTCACAGGGTAGGTGTTGGCTACATCCACAGGGTAACTTCAATCGAAAGCGTCGTGAACGATAACCGTGTACTGCCTTTTAAAAATTGAGATTCAATCAGCAAAATTTTCTCTCATATTTTTGCAGAAATAAATTTTGTAGTATGGGATGGTTATGTTCAAAGTAATATTGCCCACAGCTGGTAAATATACTGCGACCTTCAGCCATTTCATGTTCCCTGAGTTTATTTAGCAGGTTATCCGCTGTTATTTATCATAGCAGGACTTCATGAATTTTTTGCTTAAGCTCAATTTTTTTTCAATGTGTGTATGTTGTTTGCTGTTGGCCTAAGTCTGAGATTGAGCCTAGAGCGTTTAGAGATGACTGGAATGCGCTCTTGAATGCATGTAAGGAGTTCAGATTGGTTCTTTTACTAAAAAATGCCAGTAGACTATTTAGATTTGATAACTGACAAATGTGATATAATTTTAGCAATTGCAATGGAATAGCAAATACAGCTGCGTTTAATTTTATCATGTATTCATCTGGAAAAAAATTACTTTTTCAACAATGGCATTTTTTGATTTGGACAGTGTGAGCATGGTAGTCCTTAAGTATTGCCCTGTTAAAATAATTGAGTCTTAATTTAACTTATGTTATTATTTCAGGATTTGGCAGCCAGGAATATTTTAGTAAATGATGACATGGTTTGCAAGGTTGCTGATTTTGGAATGAGCAGAGAATTGAGCGAGGAAGATACATATAACACAACCGTAATTAAATGTTTCATTAACCCTTAAAAATCAAGAAGATTTTTATCCTATTAACAGATGACAATCAAATGTCTTTGAATCACACTAAATTCATATCAGGTCACCTTATCATATTTGCTGCTTCTTCAAAAGATGTCATACTGGAGAAGTGCAATCATTTGTGGGTCAATGTATATTTTAATCTCGTACATTTATTGAGATTTATTACATATCAAACTCAAAGTATGTTTCTGAGCATATATTTATTGAAGAAAAGCTTTCTCTCTTTTATCAATCACTATTTAACTTTGTGGCAGACACATAACAGAATTGAAATTCTTCAGGATGCTTCTAAATGTGAAATTGGACGTCATATGTTGGCCAGTAAGAGGAGACGTAGAATTTTTACCTGTAAGCAATTGACCATTGATTGTTGGGCGACATCTATGCATGGTTGTTGTTGTCAGGTTCGATTAACCATGTGACTCATTGTTGCAACTTAATCTACTCTGCTACCATTCATTCTAAACCTTTTCTGTCTAAAAAATATTTCACTATAGTTCAAGCTGGTAGACGAGATCCTTTATGATATAGCTTAACTTAATTTTTTACAGGGTGGCAAGATCCCTGTTCGATGGACAGCACCGGAAGCAATCCAGTTTAAGAAATTCACCATTGCCTCGGATGTTTGGAGTTATGGTATTCTGCTTTGGGAGATAATGTCATACGGAGAAAGGCCATATTGGGACTGGGGCAATTATGAGGTATATTCACGTATCTTTCTAATATAGCTAGTCACCAAGAGGAAAATGTTTTTTATTTCCTATCTACTCTAAGGTCCTTAATAGAAGGGGGGACGCTTAATAATTTTTCGATTTTTTTTTGACCCCACCGGAGCTTATTTGGACCCTCCGCTTATTAATTTTTGGATGCAAACATTCATATCCCTTTTTTCATTTGTCCTTTGTTCAGGTGTGAAATTTCTGTAAAGTTTCTTATAAATGAAGAGGTTGCATTGTACAAATTTTTTAACATAGAAAAGTAGTGACATCCTAAAAAAAATTACATAGGCCTGACTGTTGTACACAATGATGATTAGCCTGCTAATTTTGGTAATACAACAATACATTATTACATGGTGATAATTGTCATTTTGATATCGATTGTATTTAGAAGAAAACCTCCTTTGACCCCATAAAAGAATCATCACGTGATTTTTCAGATTTTTCACATATGACCCCCCAACTATGAGGACCTTCTATTAAGGACCTTAGAGTACCTATCTCCCGCCTGGGCAATGGTTTTAACAAAAGTTGATAAATTGCGATTTCAAATCAATACTCTATACAAGTTGGGGCTTTTTCGTTAACTCGTTATTCAGAAAATGATTGCTTAACCCTTTTTATTTGATCAAGAAGCTATCTCGTGGTTGAGATCTATAGATTTATTTTCTAAATGGGGGGGGGGATGGGGTATGGAGGGGTATTGTCTCTGTCTGTTTTTGAAATTCACATCTATTACTTGAAAGATGCTAATTCTACAAGATTTAGAGTCATCTTGACTTACCTGCGGCGTCGACTATTCCTTGAAACATGATCTGGGCCTAATATTGTTGCAAGGTTGAATACATGAGAATATTTAGTAGGACATTGTTTTCCAATGTTCAAAAGTTTTGGCAACCATCTTGTGTACTTCTTTTAAAAGAATCAAGCAGAGGAGATTTTTTAAAAAGTTTCACGTTATATTCGTGGAAAAAAAACGATAATAAAATGAACTTTTGTGATTACAAATAAGGAGAGGACAAGTACGAAAAGTTTGTCGAATTCTCTACGGAATTTTTTAGCAGACGTAAATCAGAGTAAACAGACGTAAATCAATCTGTTGGGAACAAACATATAGTTACACAGGATACTTTAAGAAACAACGCCTAAAAAGGGAGAATATTTGTCTCTTACATACGGGAATTCATCTTCTTCAACTGTTTTGTGACTGTTGGTGCATTCTCTTCTGAGCTGGCACGCGTAGGAATCAATTTAAGCCTTGGTTCTTTTTTAGGTGCTTGAACGTCTGGCTTCTGGCTACAGACTTCCTCCGCCAATGGTATGTTTTACGTTTTAAAGTCTCTAGATTTCATAGATTTTTACTATTTGCTTTTCGTAGATCAATTACACAAGATATGTCAAATATGCCATGCTCTGTTCTTTCCATATCGAGGCTACACCTAGCTTAAACATTATCTGTTCCTTGTTTTTTTCGTTGCTTATATTTGTGAGATTTATCTGCTATAAACCTTAAAATCTATATCGGGGTACTAAAATGCCGACGTAAAAGCAGTTGAGTTTTCCTGATCCATAAACTTCCTTGCATCAGCATTTTTGATCTAAAGATTTTTCCGACAAAGGCAAAATCTGCGGGCCTACTGATGGCCTACTATTCTACAGGCGTTTTTCTTCTTCTATCGCAGAGGGGTCTTTTTCGCGCACTCTGTTACTCTTTATTGGTCTCCTCTTAGTTACAAAGCTGTTGGCAATGATAGATGTCACATGCTCTGTTGGGTTATGTATTTTGATTAAAAAAAGTAAACTAACTTGCTGAAAATGCATCCACACCCTATATTTCGTACCAATAATTTTTCTTTAGGCTTACCTGTCTTTCAGATTCCCAATGCCCTAGTTTCATATTTTCTGATCATGTGCATAAAGTACCATTTGTTAACAAAATCATAGATATTAAATAGATATCCCATTCTGCCTTCACTGGTAATGATATGTTTGCAAATGCAACTCTTCCTTCAGATGCGTCTCGTTTGCATATATTTCAGTCCTGTGTTTTCTAATTCTACCCAGTGTTTGATTCGGGCAAGTTTGCTTGATCACAGTACAATACTCTAGCTTGCTTCACGAAGCCCCTTTTTCTTCTCACTCTTCTTGCTTCCCAGACTATCAGACTTTCCTTTTTCTAAACGATAATCTACACGGTTGATTTCACATCCTTCTCTTCTTACCCCCTTTCTCCTTATATAAACTGACATTGGCCTCGGACCTCTTTTCAATCCCTCTCTCCTTTCTCTTGTGATGGCTTTGCTATTGGCCCCAGACCTTACATAACCAAAAAAATTATGTTCACTTTTTCTGTGTTTGTTTCTTGTCTAAGTCTTAAAAGCAGCTGTTTACGATTGACAATCTCTTGCAGAGCTGCCCTAAAGTTGTGCACGATCTTATGTTATCTTGCTGGCACAAAGATCGAGTTAAAAGACCTAAATTTAAGGACATTCGTGGCACGATTGATAAGTGGATCCGGAGTCCGGAGTTGCTGAAACACGAAGAATCGGTTGTGACAAGGCGGTATGTTGCAATATATCTCCTTTCAATATACAAGAAAACTATTAAACTTGAATATGAAGTTGAAGGAATCATTTTGGTTAATGCGATACAACTTTTGTCTCTGAAGAGGAGAGGGAGTCCCAGTGACAGCCATATTCATACCGGATTACACTCGAAACGCTGTGTTAGCTTCGAATAAAGTTGTGTTGCCCACGAAGTTTCATTCATCAGTACTTCAAGCACTCCTGGACACAGCTGTTGCGATGAACGTCCAAATAAGTGTATCATGCATATTTAGTCGCACATTTAACCCCCTGGGATTCCCTCTCCTGGAATTTTCTACGTGCGAGCTTAGGAGGTCTTTAATGTCGTAG